TCCATTGTAGGACAAACAGACACAACCACACACATTCACACCAGGACCGATTTTCCAAGAAGTTAGTTCTTATATACCAGTATATATTTAGATAATGGGCGGAAACAGGAGCACCCAGAGGAAACCCATACAAACAGTGGAAGAACATACAAACTCCACACAGATAGCACCCCAGAACCAGGATTGAACCCGGAGCCCCACTGCTGTGAGGTAGCACTACTAACCCCCCAGGGCGCCCAGAGTTTGTAGAGTTTTGTTTCAATCTCAACAGCTACAGTACACATTATGACCAGTCCTGCTCTGTCAAAGAATGCAGATACTCCATCTGCAGGGTCGAGCAGCCATTTTGCGATCAAATCTTTATGTTAAGGTAGAGGGTGATATAGATGGTGCCATTACAATTAATATTAAGATCAATTTAGCGACTTCTTCCAGCTCTTAAGACTTAGGAGACCTGCAGAAATGCCTGCCCCCCAGGAACGGGACTGGACACATGCCCAGCGCTGTGAGGCAGCAATCCTATCCACTGGGCCCGCGTACCACCCTCTTCTCTGTATCTAAAAACTTTAAATCAAAGTTTCACCGGGGATACTGTGCACTAGAAAGTGCATCAGGAGGGCAGAGTAAGAAGTAGAACCGAGGTCCCGACTACCTCACTATTAAAGGATCAGTTTAAATTGTAAAGTGCTCGGTATTCTTCGAGATAAAAAATACAGTATATACTGTAAAGATAAGATTTCTTTATTGGCCCTATACAATTTCATGTATTAGAAGTTTGTCTTTTTCACATACCCCAGCTTACTCTCCATGAGACACACAGACAGGGAGAGAAGATTGGGGTCAGAGCACAGGGTCAGCCATTTATACAGCACCCCTGGGGCAGTCGGGGTTAAGGGCCTTGCTCAGAGGCCCAAGGGAGTAGGATTCCTCTGCTGGCCACGGGATACGAACCGGCAATCTTCTAGCCACAGGCGCAGATCCTGAGCCACAGAGCCACCGCACCGCCTTGGGAGCCCGCCTTCACCGCATGTAAATGCAATTAGCGTTAGTAATTTTAATAATGATTGTACAACAAGTGAGGGAAATGATGTGTAACGATAAAGCGTACAGAGTGTGTTTTTATATGTATGGATGCAGCAGTTTTGATGTGTTACACAGAGTTGTACTCTGCTTTTTCTTGGAAAGCAGAGCAGCGCGTAGGCGGAGGCGCGTTCGCAGGCCACTGTGAACTAAAAACGCGCGGACAAAAAGCCACTTACACTCGCCAGCTGCGCAGAAAAAAAAAGCATGTGGCTCTTTGGTACGTTCTGCTCACACCTACTGACAAATTAATGGTGTGAGAAACACGATTTACGTTTATATACAGTATTCACTGCTCAAAGCCGCGTCAACACTGCGCTGCCTCAACAGCCCCCGGTCTTATTGGGACACTCCTGCTCCGGCTCTAGCTAAGAATCAGGTTGCCTATTTTGAGATAACGTGTATTTTTTAAAAAAACTAGTAGCTTTAAGGTTTCTCGAGATGTGTTAATTGCCTTTTATACTCTTTTATACGGTTTTGATGCCACTTTTCCGTTTCCGAGGGCATTGCTCGTTGTTATGGTGCAACGGCCTTATTTTCTTTATTTTCTGAATTGGGCTCCTCTTCGCGATGGACTCAATCCGAGCGCTTTCGAGTGGGTCACGCTACACTAGAGTAAAAGAGGGCGCCATTCCATTTTAATAACTGTATTATATCAAATTAGATCACGTCTCTAAGTGCTTTCATCTAAGCTCCTGGCAGTTATTTTATTACTACCTGTTTTTTTATATACTGTACAAAGCGACTTACGTGTGGAGCTGTTCATACACTGTTTCACTGAAACAAACGTGGCTGAAATATTTCTTCATGGGTATGAGAGATGTGCCCCATATGGGCTTCTAACACACGAATCTCCAGTCACGGGTCGTACTCACAGTGGAGCAGCGCTCCCTCACGCGTTACACAGAGCTGCGTTTCTGTATTCGTCCTAAAACGTTTTTCACCATTGCACGCCTCTGCTCCTACAGTCTGTAACTATGCTTTGAACTTTTTTTTCTTCTAGTCTGAATGCGCTGTATCTTCCACCTACAGTACATTTGGGCTTTACTGGGCAAACAATTGTTTTACTACGCTATATTATATATTGTATATATATATCACGATGATATTAATACGATGCCAGTCTGTCGTTGTGCACGTAATCCTGTTTTTTTAAAAAAAAAACAAGAAGTAGCTCTTCTATGGTTGTCACACTCCCCTCTACGACCACCCCCAAATATCCACATGATGTGCAGGATTCTTATCTGGGACGCCCTGCTGTAATAGTCCAGTCGCAGGCGAATTTCGTTGCTTTTAGAAAGAGGTATTTGTCTCTTTTAGGGCGCACAAAGCCACCACCATAAAAAAAATAACACGTTGGTTCCACCATGGGAAAGGAAATAGTCCTTAGCCTTTTTATCTGCCGGCATGGAAGACCCCGTTTGAGTTCGCCCGCCCGGGGTCGATTTTCAGTTCAGTCACGGCCGGCAGACGAGTGAGTCAGACAGGACAGCAAGGCTGTGCCCAGCACGCGGCCGGCAGTCACCGCCAGACAGCGCGCTGAAGCCGTGGAGGAGGGGGGTCGGGGGACACGGCGAACAGTAAGACTGTTTGTGCTTTGTGAGCGAGGACAGGGGCGATCGGTCGTGAACTGGGGTCAGCAGGCCTCGCTGAGGGCCGTAAATAATACGCGCTTCTTCTTATGCACAGCTCGGGACGAGCGCGATCACCTTGTACATTTCAGCCACGTTTTTCATTCATTTTCAAAGCACGCCGATAATTTTGTGTCCGTTCGTGACAAAGTTGAACCCCTCCGATCCGTGACGTCGTGTTTTTCTTTTTAGCTCTTGATAAAATCCTTCATGTTGTTTCGCGTGACCAGCACTTACTGTACTGTCTTGGTCCTTGGAAGAGATTTCAGTTACGCCAGTAATTAACGGGTTGCACAGACCAGGTGCGACTGAACCATTCGAAAGGTGACTTTGTCAATCGCAGATCAGATTTAAATGGAACTGGCGTGTATGCGTGTCTGCCCTGCGATGGACTGGCGTCCCTTCCAGGGTGTATCCTACCTTACACCTGCTGCTTTCTGCTTGCATGTAGACTCTTGCTTTCCCGTGACCTTAAATTTGAATTCC